ATGCAAATTGCTTCAAATTGCTATCTAATTTATTTATTGTTACTATCATCATCCCAGCAACAATTTTTCTTTTCACTTTAGAAGTTTTCCCGTTTACTGTTCTCTCGAATTTATTCAGCTTTTGTCTGTCTGTTCCATTCGTCCGTCTGTTTTGTCTTTCCATTTCTTCACAATTCATTTCTTCACAATGATTTCGAAATCTCATTTTTTAATCAACAATTTGTATCCAAATTTCAGCTGTTTATTTCCATTTTCCTTAAAAAAAACACATAGAAAAATAGCTGTCGGGAGAACGCTTAAGAAAATGAAAAATAATATTGACTAAAGATTGACTGAAAGAAATCAAAAAATAATTTTGTTTGGGATGAAGGAAAGCGAGAGGTTTTAAAGAAATTGATGAATAGTGAAGGAAAAGAAAAACATTTGAGAGAATGGGGTTTTCGAGAGGTTTTGAGAAGTTCTAGAATTCTAGAGTTCATGGATTTTGAAGAGATTTCAAGTTCTCTTTCAGCTCTATCTTTTCGTTGACTTTACTAGAACAATTGCACTTTATGTTGTCTTCCCTTTTCCTCCCTCTTCTCTTCTCCTTCTTCCTCTTTCTTCCTCTCCTTCTTCTTCCTCTCTCTTCTCCTTCTTCCTCTCCTTCTCCTTCTTCTCCTTCTTCCCCTTCTTCTTCTTCTTGTTGTGTATTTCCAAAGATCGGACTTTCTCCACACAGACAATGACTCAAAAAATTCAACCAAAACATGTTGTTTACTCCATTCTTTTTCTCCAGTCTCCTTTTTTTGATGTTTTTTGAAAAAAAATGTCTAGTTAGGGGAAATAATGCTTTATTCAAAGGGAAAATAGAAATGAATCAGATAATCATAGAGATACATCTAAAATATTGCTACAATCGCTTTCAAAATGTTCTCAATTTCAAACAGCAACACAAATTTCACAATGTGCTACACTACTTTCTACAAAAAAGAAAAAAAACTAAAAATAGTAAAGTTAGACTAGAGTTAGGAAACAAGGTACAAAAGATTAAAAAATGGGGACAGATTTGACATGGCAGTAAGATCAAATTCGTTTAATGATACTTTCAATTTACCTTAGACGAGAGCTCCCAGACTGGAAGCTGATTTCAAACCCTACTACCGTATTTTCTCTAATGAAGTAGTGCACCCCTGAGTATCGCCTAAATTCCTCGAGATCTCGAGAACCGCTTATCAGAACCTATCGATGTGGGGTCGAAAAATGTAGCTGACGATGAGATCTTGTAGGGTCTTGTGTGTTGAGCTTCTGCAAGAGCTTGGAAACCGTAAAATAGTCACCAACTCGGCAGCTCGCTGGGGTGCACTACTTTTAAGAGAAAATACGGTAATACACGTTTCTGACGAGAGAATGATAAAGGGAAAGATGATGGGGATGAGAAACGATCAGAGGGTGAGAATTGCTGGTAACGATGACTACTTGTTCTTCCTAGAATGTTCCACGAATTTTCAAGAGCCTTTGAAATTCTGGATGCAGCTAAGTTTGAAAAAGAGATACTATAGCTGTGAACAAGATCGAAGAAGTAAATACGGTGATATAAAGAGGTTTTAAATCAAAAACTAGAAGTCTAGTATCATAAGGGAAGAAGAGAAGGAAGAAGAAGAGAAGGAAGACTAAGAGAAGGAGAAGACTAAGAGAGAGGAAGACTAAGAGAAGGAAGAAGAAGAAGGAGAAAGAAGGAGAGAAAGGAAGGAAGAAAGAGAAAGGAGAGAAGGAGAAGGAAGAAGAAGAGAGAAGGAAGAAGAAGAGAAGGAAGAAGAAGAGAAAGGAAGAAGAAGAGAAGGAAGAAGAAGAGAAGGAAGACTAAGAGAGGGAAGAATAAGAGAAGGAAGAAGAAGAGAAGGAAGAATAAGAGAAGGAAGACTAAGAGAAGGAAGGAAGAAGAAGAGAAGGAAGAAGAAGAGAAGGAAGAAGAATAAGAGAAGGAAGGATAAGAGAGGGAAGAATAAGAGAAGGAGAGAAGAAGAGGAGGAGGAGCTAAGAGAGAGGAAGAATAAGAGAAGGAAGAAGAAGAGAAGGAAGAATAAGAGAAGGAAGAATAAGAGAAGGGAAGAATAAGAGAAGGGGGAAGAAGAAGAGAAGGAAGACTAAGAGAAGGAAGAATAAGAGAAGGAAGAAGGAGAGAAGGAAGAATAAGAGAAGGAAGACTAAGAGAAGGGAAGACTAAGGGAAGGAAGAATAAGAGAAGGAGAAGAAGAAGAGAAGGAAGAATAAGAGAAGGGAAGAATAAGGAGGAGGGAGGAAGAAGAGAAGGAAGAGAGAGAGGGAAGGGAGGAAGAGAGGAAGGAAGAAGAAGAGAGGAAGGATAAGAGGAATAAGAAAGAAGAAATAAGAGAAGAAGGGAAACGAGTGTATGCTTTTTAGTGAGGCGCTGTTGGCACAGGATTTGGGAATCAGGGTGATAAGTTTTGCATGGAAGGTGACCATACAATTGTGGAATACTCAGAGCAAAGGCCGGCAATAGGTTTTAAAACCCTGCAGGGTATAGTTTTTAGGGAAACATATCGCGTAAATTATTAAGGCTAGAAATTCTAGAAGCTTTTTTGGAAATGTATTTTTATGTAAGGAGCACATTTTAGAGAGGAACTAACAGTGAAACCAAGATCTTTTACAGGGATCATCAGCCAGTCCTTGTAGTAATTGTGGAGGTCCCTCAAATTTTAAGGGATTTATAATGAATGTAATGAATTGTCATGAATTATATATGAGACCAAATGTAACGTGTTTGCATTTGTCCGGCGCAACTCAAGAAAAGCCCAACAATAGGTTTTAAAGGACTGCGAGGCATATTTTAGTGAAAAATATCGCGCCAATTATTAAGTTCCGAGATTCTAGAAGCTTTTTGGAAATGTAGTTTATGATTTTAGAGCTTTAAGAGCGATTTTAAGAGACCATAGGAGGAACGATTCTCTAGTTTTAAAAGTGCCCACAAAGGCAAAAAAAAAACCTAGAGCTTTTCGATGTTCTTTTTAAGGCTATTAACTCGAAAAAACATAAAGGAATGAGTTCAAATCAGGATACCTAAGAAATGGAATCTTTTGATCCTCTTTGAACACGTTTCTGAAAAGCGATTGTGAAGACTTGATTTGTGAAGAGTTTGTGAAGAGCTGTGAAGAGTTTGTGAGAAGGCTGTGAAGATTTGATCCACAAGGATTGATCCACAAATCTACAGAGTACATAATTATAGATGCCATCGCTTATTATATCATTATTATTTACTATCTCGATTTTCTTAAAGCTCAAATTTTACATAAAAGGATTTCAAAAATCAAATTTGGTTATTAAAACAGAGAGGCGTTGTTGAAAAGTCAAGTCAGACTTGTCGTGAAAAGGGAATTTCTCGATCAACAATCACTTTTGTCGGTCTTGTTTTGTCATAGAATTTCTTTTTAAAACCTTTACAATCAAAAACTAGAGAATCTAGCTACCGATAATCTAGCTTCCACGATATTTCTGGAAGGTTAAAGTCTTTGCCCTAAAAGTACATTTTCCTTGTTGTCTGTTTACTCAACAATAACAACAAGAAAAGGCCAATGTGATGAATAATTTAGACGCGAGAACTTTTTCCGAAGGAAGCTTCAGATGCACTTTTAGTTCATCTTTCTTTTCCTCAAAGCTTTTACATTTTTTCTGCTTCTTCTTCTTCACTTGATCTTTTTTTGGGAAATGGCCCGCCTCCAGACGATGTCAACAAAAGTGCATTCAAATGAATTATAAATACTCCAAAATTTTGATGAGATCGGCATTCTCAAATCTTCCTTGGCTTTTATTTCCACACATATCTAAAACTTGAGCTTTTATCTAAAACTTGTAAGTCACTGTACTTTAAAAAAGCTTTTCCAAAGTAAAGTAACCCACAAGTGACTAGTTTGACAACTTACTTACTACAACTAACTCTTAGAATCTAGTAACGTTGATTTCTTAGTCAGATCTTGAGTCAACGATGTCTAAAACATTCAGCTGATTACCTTTAGTCTTATAAAACCTTTGAATATTAGAAAAATCCATGCTATAACTTACATAGTCTATCAAAGTTCTATCACTATTCAAGCTTGTTCTTTTGTTTTCTTTCTTTGTTTTACTTTAAATTTCCGTTTTTAAAATAATTTGAATGTAAACTACTGTAAATCGAAAAGAAAATGTAATTTTCTAGATACTTTCAAATTCTCAGCGTTCAAAAGAAGAAAAAATGCCCGGAATCATTGACAAAACCAAGGAGGCTGTCTCTAACGCTACTGAGGCGGTTAGTTTTTGGTTCAAGAGTGAAGGAATCTCAAAGGTCAAAGATTCAAAGATCCAATAGTAATATTCAATAACTATTCAAGCAACATTCAAACAATTCAAGCAATTCAAGCAATTCAAGCCATTCAAGCCAATCAAGCAATTCAAGCAATTCAATCAATTCAATCAATTCAAGCAATTCAAGCAATGAAATCAATAAAGAATATTCTTCATTCCAGGTGAAGGACAAGTACCATGATTTGACTGATTCAAAGGAAGAGCATGAGGAACGAGCCCGCGAATCGGCTCAAGATGCCTGGGATCAGACAAAGGACAAGGCTCACTGCAAGGTCAGGTTGATTATTGGAAAGGAAATTGGGTTAGCCATAGGATCAGCTATAGGATTAGCTATAGGATTAGCTATAGGATCCAAATTATAGAACAAACTAAAGGATTAGCTTTAGCTTTAGTCAAAAAAAGGGAAAATCTAATTTTCAAACCGAACTACAAAGTTGATAGGCTTTTGTCTTTAAATGTTTAAGTTCTTGTTTAATTTCTTGCTTAGCTTCTTGTTTAGCCTCTTGTTTAACTTCTTCAACAGTTTAACTTCAAATATTTAATTATTAAGCTATTCAACAAAGATTTCAATGAATCAATTTTTCTTTAGAAAAGCAATTTTTTTTAAGCTAATGAATGAATTTTTTTCAGAAAGAACAAGGCAAGGATTGGGCCAGCGAGAAGTTGCACAAAGCTGGCCGAAAAATCGATGAACATTAGAAAAGTTCAAGAAATATTGAAAAACCGAAACTATCGAATCTCCAATTTCTTCAATAAAACAAACATTTAACAACTTTTCATCTAAATTCCTTTTTTGAGCTTTTTCCTTGTAATTCCCTTGTGCAATACTTTCAATTCCTGCTTTGAGATTGTAATTATAACATTGTAATTATAACATCGTAATTCTGAAATCAAAAGTTGAACTTTCATTCATTTAATGATTAATTTCATTCTTTGAATCATTTTTAATCCTTTAAACCTTTGAAAGAAAGAACTTTTGATTTCATTTGCTTTAAAAACTCCTCGTGAATATATTGCCCGAATAAAATCTGAAGCTTCAGTTGCATTTGACTCAGTAAAAAATCAAAAAAACGCAAGAAAATGCACAAAAATGTCGATCAAGTGAAAATTAGTTGAATATCTTTAAGAAAAATACCATATAAGCTTGAAAATAGTTGAATACTTTGGCTTAAACTAGCTCAACTTGAACTCTATTCAATAAACTACCGTTTCAGCTATCGATATGCATCAAAATGAGTACGATAGTTACTCTATACAAGCCCCAATCGCTTTTCCTTTTATTTCTGATCTTTTCTCTCTTTTTCCAACAATCCATCTTCACGCTAAAACCAGCTTTTCGCAAGTGAAACACCCGAAAGATCACCTCAATCAAGGCTGCTTCAGGCTCCTTATAAGCCAGTTTCTAGCCAGGCCGATCACGGCAGTTGGTCTAGTGGTATGATTCTCGCTTAGGGTGCGAGAGGTCCCGGGTTCAATCCCCGGACTGGCCCGAACTTTTTAATTTTTATTTATTATGCTCAGCCTTTATAACCCTTCTTTCCCGTCCGTTTCTCGTGGCTGGTTGGTCTAGTGGTATGATTCTCGCTTTGGGTGCGAGAGGTCCCGGGTTCGATCCCCGGACTAGCCCAAATTTTTGTTTTTTCTGGAGAAATGTTTATTTAGATGTACCGGTGTACAAAAGAAATTTTACTTTTCTATAACCAAATTTAATGAGGATCATTTTAAAACCAACCTGAAGTCCATCTGGTAATTGGAAGTCGAATTATAGAGTAAAATACAGGGTGCGGCATAAGTATGGTTACAAGGTTGTAACATTGATTTAAGAAACTGATTGCTTTTTATTTCTTGCCAAAGGATTATTTTTTCTTAATTTGAATGCTTTTTTATATTATGTAGCAGTTTTTAAGCAAATTTTTGAGTTTGGACATAATGGTGAAGGCTTCTCCTAACCGTGCCGCTATTCTTCAGCTTGGAGCACAGGGACGATCAACTTCGGATATTGCCAAACTGCTGAAAATGCATCGAATGACGGTATACCGCATTTTGCAACAAAATAGAGTCGAAGAGCTTCCTAAAAGTGGACGTCCGCCAAAAATTGATCACACGAGACTCAAGAAAATCATTAGGAAACGAATCAAGCGCAATCCTGCGCGGAGCATGAAAAAAATGGCTCCCCAATTGCATGTTTCTGATAGAACTATCCGTCGTATCGCCAAAAAGGATCTGGGTCTTCACCCTTACAAGTTAAGGAAGCATAATGGCCTGACGGATCTTCAAATGAGAAACAGGAAGCAAAAATGTGCTCTTCTTCTTGCAAGGGCCGCAAATGATGAGCATCTGACGACGCTTTTACTGACGAGAAATTATTCAACATTGAGCAAGTTTTCAACTCTCAAAATGATCGAATTTTGGCTCACTGCCCTCAAGAAGCAAATAAAAGTGGCCGATTTGTGGACAGGAACTCACATCCAGCAGGAGTCACAGTTTTTGCAGGGGTGTCAGCAACTGGTCGCACACCGTTGATTTTCGTTGATAAAGGGCTGAAAATTAACACAGACGTGTATCTGGACGTTCTCACAAAATATGTACAGCCATGGAGTCAAGGACATGATCAAAATCAGCGCTGGACGTTGATGCAAGACGGCGCCCCAGCGCATAAAGCAAAAGACTCAAGAGTGGTGTCGAAACAATTTTCCCGACTTCATTCCCGCCAATGAATGGCCAGCTAATTCGCCCGACCTCAATGTTATGGATTTCTGCGTTTGGGCAATTTTGGAGCAAAAAGCACGCACAACAAAACATGCAAACGTTGAAAGTCTGAAAAAGGCTCTGAAGAAAGCCTGGGCGGAAATTCCACAAAGTACCTTGCGGACCGCCGTGGAAATTTATCCAAAGTGCCCATATTGAATAATTTGTTATTTTTAAAATGAATATGATTACTGTTGTTAATTTAAAATAAAGTTTACATGTGTTCGTTCATATTTCACTACGATACACGGTTCTGAGTCTGTAACCATACTTATGCCGCACCCTGTAGAAAAACGGCACTTTAGCGCACTATTCTTCAAGACGATTTTTCTCGATGTTTTTATTAAAGAGTATACAAAACAAATTTCACGTTTCTTTAGTCAAATTTAAAGAGGATTCTTTTAAAAGCAACCATAAGTTGATTCAACTTCTATACCTCGAGCTATAGACCATCTAAGCTGATCAACTTTTTCATGTAGGTAGTTCAACTTTGAATGTAATCTTGGACGCACTTTATCCCTAAGTAATAAATGACTTTAGATGTACTTGAGTAACTGATATGATTCAGGCTTTGGGTTGATTGATTGTGATTCTTGGCGGCTTAGCTATCGTAATTCTTGGCGGCTTAGCTATCGTAAATCGTGTAATCGATTCAATTTCAAAATGTTTCAAGTTTAAGCACGTGTTACCGAAGAAATGACATAACTCTTTCAATTCCAGACACATTCTAAACAAGATCCAGTTGCACTTTTGGTCTAGATCCTTCCAAAAAAGACATGCGCTCAGTAAAAGTAATCCCAACAGACTAGACTTTGTTTTCAGCCTTGTACCCTTCCTGTTGTGACAAGGGAAATGAACTCTTAGGAAAATATTATTGTCCGCTGAAAGAAGAGAATCGATTTGGTGGACTTGTTTTTTTCTCTTGGTGCACTTTTGCACTTTTAGGGAATACTGGGGGATTTTGCGCGGGTGAAGGCGTAAACAAAAGGGCATTTTGAGGAATCGGGGAATAAATAGACTGCGGAAGGCTTTGGAAATCATTTTCAAAGAATCTTTTGCATTAAATTTACTATTTTTGGTGTCTTTAAATGTCGTAGTATCAGTGAATACCTTTAAGTTTTAAAGCTAAAACCTTTTGAAATCGTTTTCTCTCTTTTTCTAGCTTTTTCTAGCTTTTCTTGATTTGAAAATCGTTATAGAGCAATAAAATGTAGGGATTTTTCTATTAACTGAATATCTATTAAAGAGTTATTCAGTTTATAGCTTTTCTTTGAAGAGATATTAACGTTTAAACAATTATTCTAGCTTTCTGACTTCTCAAGAGACTAAAACTCTTTCCTTCACTCTTTCTTTCACTCTTCCTTCAATCTTTCCTTCAATCTTTCCTTCAATCTTTCCTTCACTCTTTCTTTCACTCTTTCTTTCACTCTTTCTTTCTTTCAGTCTTTCTTTCACTCTTTCCTTCACTCTTTCTTTCAATCTTTCTTTCAATCTTTCCTTAAAGTTTCATCTTTTCTTTACTCTTTATATCTTCCGATTTGCTCTATATTCGTAAATCAAAGCTTTATCTTAATGAAATCCTTTCAGAAATCAAATTTTCTTCACGTAAACATGCCTGGAGTTATCGACAAAACCAAGGAGGCTGTCTCGAATGCTGCTGAAGCTGTGAGGGTTTTTTGAAACATCAAAAACTGAATAGTCTACAGGGAAACAATTCTAAGCTTCAATTCAATAGTAATCTTTTGAATTTTAACTCTAAAATACGAAAAACAAGGATGAAATCAATGAATAGTCGAGGGTAAAAGAAGAATTGACTTATTTCTTCAGATTTCTTTAGATTTCTTTAGATTTCTTCAGATTTCTTTAGATTTCTTTAGATTTCTTCAATTTTGAATTAGTTTTAAAAGCTAATTTGATTCGATTATCAATTAAAAGATATCAATTAAAGAAAATTATTGATTATTGATTAAATTTTACAGGTGAAAGACAAATTCAATGATATGACTGGAAACACGCACGAGGAGCGAGCTCGCGACAACGCTCAATCGGCCTGGGATCAAACGAAGGACAAGGCTCAAAATAAGGTTAGCAAAAGCGATGAGCTCAATATTTTAGACGTTGTTGATCTATCTGATGTGTAGATTTATTAAAAAAAAATCATTATTTCACTTCGACTTTCAAAAAAAGGATTCAAAAATTTGATTGTGATTTATGGTTGAGCTTGATTTTTATATAAAAATATCAAAAATGACAAAATTTCAAGAATTTCAAGAATTTCTTTTAATTTTAAGAATTTCTTTTAATTAAATAGATTTTTAAGAAGTTTAGCTTATCAGAAGCTACCAAAAGAAGAATTTTTCTCTTTTTTAGCAAGAGAAAGTGAGAGAAGCTGAGCTTGGGAAATTGTTTCCGTTTTTGTCATGAGAATGGGAGTTGAATGGGAAATGAATGGGAAATGAATGTGTACAAATGGGATTTCAATTTGAATATATATTGAATATATATTGAATATATATATATATATTTATGCTTTATTTCGATAAACATTTACTCTTTTTTTTCAGACAGAACAAGCAAAGGATTGGGCTAGTGACAAGATGCATCAAGCTGGCTGAAAAATCGATGAACACTAAAGAAGTTTTTCTTTTAGTGCAAAAGATTTTGATGGAAATCTGTTTCTTGATTTAACTTTAATCTCTCTTTATTCTCTTCCTTTTCTTCATTCAATAGCATTTAATTCTTCCATTGAAAATAAATGAATTCAAAAATTTAAACTTTAAAAACTTTAAAAAAACAGAAAATTTACTAAAAATAGAAAATTTACTAAACAATTTTCTAAATAAGCAAATTTTTTAGCTAAACAAACACATTCTTTTAGCTAAACAAACTACAAATAAGATTTTAAAAGGCTTAGGCTTCTTAGAAAGCCATTTCTAAGAACATTCAAC